GGAGGGAGAACGAAGAGGGTCGGGTCCTCTCGCTCGCTCGGCCCCTGGGGGCCCCGGCGGCTAAGTAGGGCGGTGAGCGAGGCTTGGAAAGGGGCTTCGGGAAGCCAGGCCCTGCCCGCGCGAGGACCGGGAAGTGGGATGTGCTACTTTTGTTTGCTTGCTTTTCACAAGGGATTCGCACCCCTATCCCTCAACCTACACCTCCTTTGCAGTACCAGCTTCGACCTATTCCTTCTTAGTCGGCAGCTTGAAATGACAAGACCAGAGAACTCGAGTGATATCCGGGGGCAGCCCGCTCCGAGCCGCTGTTTTCAGGGCGCAACTTCAAACCCACCTCCGACGCCGTTTCCTCCGAAACCTCTCCAGCCTCCCCGCTCTGGCCGGCCCTTGCTCTCCGCGAGGCTTCCCACGGCTCCTCCTCCGATTCCTCTCCAGCCCTTATCAGACTGTCCTGGAATTAGTTGTTTACCTGGCTGCTTCTGATTCTTCTGGGAGATCTTTCTTGGAAGACAGGACCAAGCCCTGTTTATCTTTTGAATCCCACGTTAATTTGAATATGCTACCCGGTGTATAGTAGGCACTCAATAAATATTTGTTGGCTGAGGGACTATTCTTCACTGCCAGCCCAACTGGAAGCTAATACAGATGACATTCCGAGGATCAAAGCAGCTTAAAGAAGGGAGATAGCATTCTGGGAGGTCAGCGCACGAAGCTTGCTTATGCGCCAACGTCTGAAGGAAGAACTGCCTGGTTTCTGTTTCCTCGTCTGTGAAATGGAAGTAGTTCTGTTTATCTCCCAGGAGTTTGCTGTTAGAGATGAGTTGATAGGTAAAACTGTTAGCACCTGGCACCCATTCTTACCCAGTTAAGTTTACAATACATGGAAACTGACATTAAGGAGATTTCCATTTTTCCTGAGCCATCGAGAACTTTTCCAACGCTATCATTTAAGCTTTCAAACTTAGTGACTGGTACAAACACATAAATTTGAAACTCCAAACATCGGTAGATTCTCCCTCACTCCCAGGAATTCACCCTTACAGCAGGCTGTTCCCTATCAGCACAGCACCAATCACAGTTTCTAATTATTTATTTGCTTGCTTGGCTGTTTGTCTCTCCTTCCCTACCCCTCCCCTACTGGGTATTCTTTACCCAGTACTGGTTTAAGTGCTCCTGGGAATGGGATGGGGGTGGCGCCTGGAATTAAAAGATAAGGCTTCTGCTTTTTAGCAAATTTAAAGTGGTGTTGTGGAGACAAGATAACTCCCGACAACATAATCGCAGATCCTGGTTCAAATCTTAGAAAGCAAAGAAAATATTTGTTTTTCTGAAGAGAAAACCAGTAGTGATACTTGGATTAACATACTAAATTTTCTAGGGTGGAGGGGAAGTCTGAAGATTTTGATAAAGTGAGTTCATTGCTGTCACGATGTCATTTCTCTCTATGGGGAAAAAAAAGTGTATCCCAGATGAAAATAAGCCAAGAGTCCATTAAAACTGCAATCGAAGTTCAGGAGCAGCAAGGGTACAGTTAATCTGGAAATTTAAATGGCCCTTTCCTCTTCCAGTTCCTCACTCAGTTATATGAGGAGCCACGAGGGGGCAATGTCTTCCTGAGCAATGGCTGAGTAGTGGTCTTGGGCGCCTGTGCTGACCAGTGATGCCAGAACTTTACCCTCCTTGGCCATTCTTGCCTGTTCCTGAACACACTCCACAGAAAGGCATTGTCTTGCTGGAGCATGGCAGAGACCCAAGAAGAATGACAATTGACCTAGTCATTGATAGTCCCCGTCAGGCTCCACTTAAGAGTAGGTGGATCTTGTGTGATTCTAGGATTCTGGGAGAACCTCCCCTACCCCCATTCAAGGAAATGTGACTTAATCTAAAACATGGAACCCGATTCCTTTATCTTTAAGCCAAGTTGGCACCTTGTTTATTGTTACAGGTCAAAAACCTCTGGAATAAAAAAGTGAGAATAAGTTCCATGAGAGGATCCTTGTCTGGCTTGTTCACTCTTGTGTCCTCAACATCTAGACAGTGCCTATCACATAGTAGGCACTCAATAATTATTTTCAAATGAATGAACACATTCTTACCAGGTGTTGGTTGTAGGGCCTGGATGATAGTAAGACATCCTTCCAAGATCTTGCACGAAGGACTGAATTAGTGGAGGCATCTTGGCATGGAGAGCATCACAAGGACACTGGGCAGATTCCTGGTAATCATTATTTTGCTAGGGGAGACCCTAGATAGAGAGCTTGTGCAGAATGGAACAACTGGTGAGGTTTCAAAAAATAAAAAGTAAAATCACACCGCTCAGCCAGTCAACTGACAGACACATCAGGCAGCTGACACTAAAGCAGGGAGATCTAGAACATACAGTCAGTGGCGAGTGTGAAATCCAGGGTGTTTTCAGAAGTGTATGAGGACGGGGTAATACTGTCCTTTCTATGAAGATGGTTTAGAAGACTTTATTGGAGGAACAATAGAGTAATGTTGCCAACAAAACTGACAGAAAATCTGTAAAAAGACTAGGTATTTATAAAATTTTGTGAGTGAGGCAGAAGAGTTGTCTGGGGGATATACATTCATTCAGGAAATAAATGATCTTTATGACCTGTTTACTACTTCAAAGAAAAAAGTTTCAAAATGAGATCTCAGTAGCAGTAGTTTCCAGACAAACAAAGAGTTCTAAGACAACAAAAGGATTTCATATCCTAAAAAAAAAGAAGTCTAGTGACCAGGAGACATCTGCTTTTTCCCCTGCCCACCACCTCATTGCTTCTGCAAGGTTATATGCTAGATTGAAAGGGAAATGCTGTATGCACCTGTAGTTTTCATTACCCATCTCTGTTTCTCTGGCAGGGTTCATTTTGAAGCTTGCTTTAAGAAATCCAAACCTATAATTATGTCTTAAATGTTTGTCTCTGGGAATTGCAGACATTAAAGGTCTATTTTGAAGCAATTTGCGTGGCATGGGCTTGATAACTCTGTTAGCATTGAGGCAGAAAGCTGCAGTGTCTACCACGTGTGTTGTGACTGTCTGTTAACTCTTCTGCATCCTCTGCTGGACTGGAAATGTTTTTGAAGCCAGAGGGGGTGTTTGGTTGGTTTTTGTCATTCTTAACACTTCTCTCTCCCTCACTCACTCCCATCCACCTCCAGGCCCACACCACCTTCCCCTGATTGTATTAATTAATTTTTAATTGTGGCTAAAACACACACACAACATAGTATTTACTGTCTTGACCACTTTTAAGTACGATTTAATGGTGTGAAATATATTCACATCATTGTGCAACATCCTGATTTTTACCTCCTAAATAGTTCTGAGATTCAATCACTTCCCTCCAACATTTGTGGAAGCCCACGCAGCCACGTGGAGAGGCCCATGTGGAAGAGAATTAGGTCTCCGGCTTATAACCCGAGCTGCTCGCTCAGCAGACAGCTGCTACCAATTGCCAGCTTATAAGTGGGTAATCTTGGAAGTGGATACTCCAGCCCTCGTTGATTTGCCCCAGCTAACCACACATGGGAGGGTGATGAGCTTTCTTCACTGAGTTGTGCCTGAATTGCAAAACTATTAGCAAAAAAGTGAATGCTGTCATTTAAAAACACTAAGTTTTAGGGTGGTTTGTTATACAGCAATAAATAACTGAAACATAACTGCATATCTAGAAAATGGGATTCTGCTGTCACAGAAATTTAAAACATGTGGCAGTTGCTTTGGGATCAGGTGGAAGCTGGAAGCTGGAAGGACTGTGAGGAGTCTGCTAATGAAGAGCATTATTAAAGGACAGTGAGAGTATTGTTACTGCAGGAAGGAGAAAGGGGAACCCCGTTTACATACTGGAAAAACAATTAGCCAAACCAGCTTGTTGTTACATGAAAGATAGACAAGATACCTAATGAACATGTGGATCTGGCTAGATCTGGGTGGAATATTAAAAGGCTTGGTTGGTTTCTTTCAGATGCTTGTGATATAGTACAAGAGAAATGAGATGAGCTAAAGAAAACAGGAACTGTTCCATTTTCAGTCACAATCAAGAGGAAACCTAAAGAAGCCAGGAACTGCTGGATTTAAAACAAAACATTCTTTCATTCCTAGCTTCTCCAGAAGATAAAACTCTCAAAATGAAAAATAGCCCAGAGTAAAGGTCAAATCCAAGGTGCTACTAGGAAAACATGGCCTTAGGTAAAGTTCAGGACAAAGGTATAGCTGGAAGACCCTGTGGTAGGCAGCCTCCACAGAGATCCCTACCTACTGGTATTCAAGCCCCTTGAGTGTGGGCTGGACATAGTGACTTGCTTTTAATGAATAGATACAATTTCTGAGGTTAGATTACAAAGAGACCATGACTCGCATTTTATACACCCTCTCTTGCGCTCTCCCTTGCTGCCTTTAATGGAAGCCAACTGCTAGGAAGTGAGCTGTCTGATGGAGAGGCACATGTGGCAAGGAATGGTGGAGGCCTCCATCCAAGAGCAAGGAACTGGGGTTTTCAGTCCAACAACCCACTAGGAGCTGAATCCTGTCAACAACTATATGAGTAAGCTTGGAAGCAGATCTTCCCAAAGTGCAGCCTTAGATGAGCTCTGTTATGGACTGAATGCTTATATCCTCCCCAAATTCATATTATGAAGCCCTAATCCCCAATGTGTTGTTGGTATTAGGACGTGCAGCCTTGAAGAAGTAATTTGGTTTAGATGAGGTCATAAAGGTGGAGCCTCCAAGATGAGATTAGTGCCCTTGTAAGAAGAGACACCAGAGCTTCTGCTCTCTCTGCCATGTGAGGAGGCAGTGAGTAAATGGCTGTCTGCAAGTCAGGAAAGGGCCTTCACCAAGAACCAAACTGGCTGGCACCTTGATCTTGGACTTCCCAGCCTCCAAAACTGTGAGAAAAAATACATCTCTTGTTTAAGTCACCAATCTATGAAATCTTGTTATGGTTGACAAGATCATAACTCTGGATGGTATCTTGGTTAATAACCTTTGAGAGACCTTATGGCCAAGGGACCCAGCTAAGCAGGGCCTGGATTCTTATCCAGCAGAAACTGTGAGATAATAACACTGTTGTTTTAAGCCACTAAGTGTTGGGGTGACTTGTTATGCAGTACTAGATATGCTAATATCTCAGCAAAGTTTAAGGTGGTACTTCTACCTTAACTGGACAGCAGGGCTTCTGAGGATCTAAATGATGTCCCACAACAGTGTGACACTGGCCCAAGGTAGAGAAGGGCCTGTCCTGATAAGAAATTTGAGGACAGCCTTTGCCTAAGAGAGATGATTATAACATTAAGTATAAAAAGCCTATGGCTTTTATTATGGAAATTCCTTAAAAAACTGAAAATAGACATATCCTGTGATCCAGTAATCCCATTCCTGGGCAAATATCCAGAGGGAACTCTAATTTGAAAAGATACCTGTACCCCAATATTCACAGCAGCACTATTTAC